CTGCAGCCTCTCCTGTTAAGAGCTTACTAATTAACATCATCTCACTGGGTTGTTTCAGGGGTTAGATGAAATACTCTCCGTTTGTACCAGAGCATGGTACCTGGTAAAGAGCAGCAATAATAGTAATTAGTAGTAGTAGTAGTGGTAATACTAAACTAGTATTACTGGTACTAGTAGTAGTAGCGGTAGCAGTAGTGGTAACCACAAAAACGAAGAGATCTGATAAAGTGGTATCGTTGACCAGTTTGGTGACTCATAAATGTCAAGGACTTGTACATGTTCGGTGTTCAGTTTGCCCTTTATTATACCAATACTCTGTCAAAAAAGAATCCTATTTCTTATTTTTCTTTCATCCATGGTGAGATGGATTTTTCATTCTACACATGGCCTTTTGGGAAAAGGCCTAATAGCTTATATCTCTATCTGTAACTATTTCTGAAACACAGCTTCAAGGTTTGAAAGCCTTCTCTTGTCTACTTCTCATTGTTAACATCACATTTAATGGTGTCTGGAAAAGATTCGAGTTCACAGTTTATAGGGGTGATCTGTCTATTCCAGGCATGTATAGTACAGGGCAGAGAGGGGGCCTGGGTTCAGAAGAGGGTACCATACATTCACGGCAATTCATGGCTCTGGGGCTTGTCCTTTACTGCATTGCAACACTGAAAATATTGTGAACCAAATACCTGGTTAATGTCGGGAAAGCAATTCAGATACAAAGTCTGTTGTCAAGAGATAAGAAAAATACCCCAGATAAGAGTGGTCACATGGAAGCACGTGGTTTTCTATTGGCTTAGCATCCCTGGTGTAAGAAGAGGATTCCACCTCTGCCAGACCAGAGGCACATTCTGAGATGGCTGTGGCAGGACATAGCTATTATCCTCATGGAGTCAGGGTCTGAGAGACTGGGAATGGTGACAGAGGAGAGAGGTGATATTCCTGCTTTTTTACCATTTTACCATTATCCTTACTCCATAGAGGGAGACAGAAAGGCTGCCTCTGGGGGTCTGTGCATGGGCTTGTCCATGTGGCTTTAGCATTGCCACTCTGCCTACTTATCTATCCTCTCCTCAGAAAACATCCACCAAGCATCACTCCCAGTCTCAAATGATCATCCTAAAAGACAGACACTCAACAAAAACTGCTGAAAGGAACACACACACACGCACACACCTCTTCTAACTCAATCATGTTTATGAGTGCTCAGCTCTTTGTGACCCCATAGGCTGTATGTAGCCCACCAGGCTGCTCTGTCCATGAGATTCTTCAGGCAAGATACTGGAGTGGATTGCCATTTCCTTCTCCAGGGGCTCTCCCCTGACCCAGGGATCAAACTTGAGTCTCCTGCACTGGCAGACAGATTCTTTATGACTGCGTCACCTGGGAAGTTCCTCTAACTCACAGACAGCACTTTAAAACATACGTGGGATTTTCATAGATGTTTTGCTGTTTGATACCAGTAACAACCCTGCATAGGGTACTTTCTTAGAGTTGAAGAAACCAAAGAGATAAATAGCTGAATGAGATCTCATAATTAGTAAGTTGTGGAGCCAGCATTTGAAGCCACATCTCTAGAGATGACATATCTTTTCCATGATGCCATGCTGCTATTCTAAAGTAATAAGAATAAGTGCATATATAAATATTTATTAAGCACTTACTGTGTGCCAAGTATATGGCTCTAAGCACTTCATATATATTAAGTTATTTAATCCTTAAAACAATCCAGTTTTACAGAGAAGGTAACTGGGGCATGGAGGAATAAAATTTTTCTTCTTCAAAATAATAGATGACTGTCCAGGGAGGTTATGTCACATTCTAAAGGGGTTCAGTACTCTTAAAGACCCCACTTTGAGTTTGTTTTCTACTAAAAGCCAAAGTATTCTGCCAAATTATTTATGTCATTTCAGTAGGTGAAAGACCTGTTAGCAGACGCCAACCAGATGCTTCTCTGGATGTTTCCAAGGCTGTGTGGGGCTCTTGAAAGAAGCAACTCCAGAGAGGAGTGACCCCTCTGTACAGTGCTCCCCTGACCTTTGTAGAAGGGGTGAGGCAGAGATGAGACTCCCCAGGTCTTCTCAAAGTGATGGATGTGCTCATTTTTGCCTCTGTACATACATCTTCTTCCTGCCGTACGAACTGTTTACTGCATCCTCACGTCCCTGTCCTCGAGGTCTCAGGGACACCTGTGATCCCAGTGCTTCCTGCCCCACACCTCAGTCTGTGCACACATGTCCTACATTATTTCAGAGACTTCCTCCCTGTGCCCTGGGGCCTCCACCTTCTAAGCCAGGTCCCTAACTTGTTCTGTCTCTCTTTCTGCAGGAAGCACTTCGACTCCTTGCCTATTTGGTTGGCTTCTTTGAGATACCCTTCAGCTCCCTGGCCTTTCGCCCACAGTTCCCGCAGCCAGAGCGGCACCGAGCACTTCTGTAAAGGTCAGTGTTGAATCCCGTTTCTGCTGGGTGAGCTCGTCTTCGTCCTGAGCTCGGTAGACACCATTTTCCTTTGTGCTCAGAGAGAGTCTTCGCTGAGAACAAGTCCAACCCTCTCTCTATTTGACCAAAGGTGTAATTGCCTGCCATAGCATCTATCTATCTTTTCCTTCGGGCCAGTGCTCCCCTGCCCACCCTCATAGATTCACTCGTTAATTTAGGAGACGATGGGCAGGGCACCCTGCGAGGAGCTAGAAATACAGGGATGGGTAAGACAGTGACTGCCATTGTCTCCCAGGGGGCTGAGCAGCAGAGAGTTCAAACACAGTGTGCGTCGTGTGGTTGGTGGACACATGCAAGGGGATGAGAGGCCTGGAAGAGGAGCACCCAGCTTATACTGGGGCGCCGCAAAGACTGCTAGAACAGCAGCCCTCAACCTTGTTGGCACCGGGAACCAGTTTCGTGGAAGAAAGTTTTTCCACAGATGAGGCAGGGGATGATTCTCTTAAGGAGCACACAACCTAAATCCCTCGGAAATCCATCGCATGCGCAGTTCACACTAGGGTTCAAGATCCTATGAGAATCTAATGCCGCCGCGGATCTGACAGGAGGCGGAGCTCAGATGATGATTTGAGCAATGGGGACTGGCTGTAAATACAGAGGAAGCTTCACTGCTCACTCACCCGCCACTCACCTCCTGCTGTGTGGCCGCGTTCCTAACAGGTCTAAGCGCAGTACTGGTCCGTGGCCCCAGGGGGTGGGGACCCCTGTTCTAGAGAACACACAAAGTAGAGAGTGAAGGAGAGGAAGTGTTAGGAGGTCAAATGTGCTTGAGTGAGTGGCTATGAGGAGGAAGGAGGTGAGGGCAGAAGAGGCATTACACGCACATGCGCACGTGTGCATGCACAGGACTGGTACAGCCATGAAACTACAAGGCCGGATGGGGAATACATGTAAATCCATGGCTAATTCAATGTATGACAAAAACCACTGCAATGCTGTAAAGTAATTAGCCTCCAACTAATAAAAATAAATGGAAAAAAAAAAAAAAGAAACTACAAGGCCCTCCTAAGGTCAGAAGCAGAACATTCAAAGGACGTGTCCAAAAATGAGGCCGCAAAGATAAACAGAAGTCAGATCATGCAAAGCCTTTTGAGCCATGATAAGGCAACCGGACTCTTCTGAGGGCCCTGGGAAGCCGTGAAAGGGTTTTAGGCAGGATGGCGATCTTGGGATCAGATTTGCCTTTTGAAAAGGTCACTGGCTGAAAAACGAGGAGGGGTCTGGGGTGGAGGTAGGGGACGAGGGGCCAGCTGCACCAACAAATGAAGGCCGTGCCACATGTGTGCGCCCCTAGGGGGCCCCCAAGGGTCACTCAGCTGCTTGGGGAGGTGGCCGACCTCAGCCCTCAGCCCAGTCCCTGTCTGGGAAGAGTCACCTCTCCCCAGAGCCACGCTGCTCCTCCGGGGTAGCCACGTCAGACGGCTGACTGAGGGGACGGCATCGAGGCTCAGGCCCGGTCCCTGCAGGACGACCCTGAAGCGCGTCCCGGCCCCAGAGCGTCTCTGGTGCAGCCATGTCCCAGTTCAGGGTCCTCATCCTTCCTTCCCCACCCCCAGGCTCCCCGGGAAACTTCCTGCCTGCTCCACTCAGCATCTCAGAGCCTGTTTCCCGGGAAAGAGCTGGGATCAGGGGTGGTCCGGGGAAGACCTCCATCCCCACCCCCAGGTGGCTGGCCTGAGGCGTTCACAGGTGGTGGCACTCTGCCGGCCCTGGTGAGCTGTGGTCCTGCAGCTGTGAAGGCTTGTGGCTGGTGAAGGGGGCTGGGGTGGGGGGGGGGGTGTCCTGGCAGGTCCAATGAATAGCTCAGCTTTTGAGAGGTCAAGGGCATGAGATAATATTATAACGAAATGAATGAGCCCAACGAAATGAGATGCTTTCTAATGAGTGCCATTGATGCCTCGGAGAAAGACTATACAAAGCCAACTGTGAAATTCAGAGTGCCTTCAAAACAGTATATAAGGAGACTCTTATCTCCTGCATCCAGAAGGTAGGAGAAGCCAGGCCCGGGACTTCACGTGGCAGTAGCCCCAGTCCTCCAGAGCACAGTGGATTCTCAGCCCCAGCAAGTCTGCTGTGTCAGCGCAAGCCCTGAGTCAGAAAGCGTGGGACCCTGAGGACTGAGATGGGGTCATCCAGGCAGATGCACTTGAAAGCCCTGCAGCCCCAGACCCCTGGAAACCCCCCACCCTGCAGCTGTGGCCCACGGCTTTGCTTAGAGGCTAGCTGGGAAACCACACAGAAGGCTCAGCCTTTCAAGACAGTGTGTGCCCGCTCCCTAGGATGTGCCCTCCCCTCCCCGCTGGGCACCAGGCCAACCTCAGGGGCCAAGTCCTAACACAGCCCATCTGAGGAAGCACGGGGCCTGCTCGGGGATGAAGGGGACTGTCCCCCTAGAGGAAGGGGCTATGGGACTAGATCCGGGGGGAGCTGACAGGGGAGGGGACATCAGACTGGAAGAGGGAGAGCTTGCTGATGTGAAAACATGCCTACAGGCGCTCTGCACTCAACACCCCGGCAAGGACCCCTAGTGAAGGTGCCAGCATGCTAGCGGGACACGTCTTGGGAGCTCAGAGGAAAGAAGGAGTGCGCATTCAGTGAGGTAGGAATACCTGAGTGTTATGGCAGGTGTGGGAGAACAGCCCAAAAGGCACAGAAGTTCACACTGCCCAGTAGACTTCCTGCAGCAGAAACCCAACGTCAGACCAGAGGCTTCAGATAGCTAAGAAGGCATGTTCATGTCAATAGCTTACAATGAATTCATTCCACTTTTGCAGGGAAAGGTTTGTTTTTTTATTTGACTCTGCTGGGTCTTAGTGGCAGCACGCAGGATTTTGTTGCCATGTGCTGGATCTTTATTGTGGCATGTGGAATCCTTTTTTTTTTTTTTTTAAGTTGTGACGGGTGGGATCTAGTTCCTTGACCAAGGATTCAGCCCAGGACCCTTGCATTGGGAGGACAATCTTAGCCACTGGACCACCAGGGAAGTCCCAAAACTTTTTAATTTATAAGAAACCTTCTCAGTTCACTTGAGGAAAAATGCCCCTCAGTTCACTTGAGGAAAAATGCCTTTTGTGGCTCATGATCATTTTGAATATGAAGTATTTACTAAAGGAAATTTTCTTTCCTAAGAGGTCTCAGAATGCAGATTGTTCAGTTTTTCTTTTTCAGAGAAAGCTCTCTGCTGTATCTTTCTCGAGAACAAATTTGCTCAATTCTTATCTTCCTGGCTGGTGAATAGGTTTACCCTGGATAGCATTACTGCTTGGCTTTCATTATTCTATTTTCCTGGCTGTGCTGTGTAATTTCTCTCCTTGTAATTTTCCTTGGTATGCCGTGTGAATCACATACGAAGCTTGCTTTGAGTCATTTGCCATTAGTTCGGCTTCTGGGTAACATTTTCATTTTACCAGTCGTGTCTTAGACCGTGTCAAACAATAATATTGACGCAACAACACTGCAGTGACAACTGATACTGAGTGAATACTTACTCTGCATTAGGCACTGTTCCAGGGTTTTCCATAATCGACTCACTTCATCTGCACATTGACCTTGTCTCTAGTCCCCTACCCTTTTAAGAAACCTCTCATGACATAAAGTAGACAGATTGGGAGGCTTCATCTCCAGGTTACAGATGGAGACACAGAGGTCATCCTGCCTGTATGTGAGCCCTTCCTATGATGGGCGGCTCAGCCTTTCTCAGTCCCAATAAGGTGGGGCTTGGTGTCAACACTCTGAAGGTTTGGTACTCAGAAATCTCACAATACCCACTGCCTGCCCCCAACAAATAATGAGTTAGGCTGTGTGGGGTTGCCAACCATGGATGGAAATTTAGGTAACCAGGCCTCTAGTCCTGCCCTAGGAACAGGTAACATTTCCCCTGGGACTCAGTCTCTCTGTCTATCAAATGAAGGGCTAGACCAGATCAGAAATTGCATATTGGTGGCATGAGGGACACTTGGTACCCAGAGATGTGTTTTGTTAGGCTACCCATTTCATTTTGCTTTGATTTGGTTTTTCAGGGTGAGGGGGTGAATTCCTTTAAGAGGTAGCCAGTTCAGACTGTGCTCCATGACACCTTATGGTCTTAAACAAGTCAGAATTACACATTTATATACTTGCCTGGTCCCTATAGACTTTTGAGATTATAAATGCAAATGTGGGATTAAATTATCTCTGAGACTCACCAGGTCGATCTTGTATATTTCCCTCTGGAGTCCCTGAGCCAAGGAGATGGGAGACCTGCCAAGTGGTGGGGGGTGTAAACGAGGGAGCAGGAGCGGTTGCTGGCCTTCCACATTCTTAGTGTCCTGGGGTCTGAGATGCCCGGCCGGCCTTGCCTGGTGCTGCCCACTCCGCAGCACCAAAGAGGACAACGCAGCGGCGTGTCCTGGCTGGGACGCTGGAGAGGTGTGCGATGCCCTGCTCTCATGTATGGCAGGTTGGTGACAGGTGGCAGGCCTCAGCAACAAACCGAGACACTGTCTGGCAGCACCTGCAGTTGCTGGGACCCCTGCCCCGGGGCATGTGGGAGCCGCCTGCAGTCTTCAAACCACATGAGGCTGTGCGAACTGTCCCAGTGGGTGCTGGCCAGCCTCACCTGTGTTCCATCGGCCTTGACAGATACAGCTCACCTCTGGCTTTTGCTCTCTGTGGTTGTCATAGCTACAAGATTTCATTGTCCGCAATTCCTCCTCTTCGTGGTGGAGGGGCTCAAACCCACTTCCGACCAGGGGCAAACACTGAGGTCACCCCAAGATTGCACTGGTAACACCAGTTTGGCCCCATACTTCCTGGAACATAGTAAGGGCCCCATTTCTTTAACACGCATGAATGACCTTGACTTTATCTTAGAGTCTGTCTTCACTTATTCCATGCCCAGCTCTGTGACTGACACAATCAGAGCTGGTATTATCTCTCAAGCAAGATGACATTTCAAAACACGCAGGCCTCAGGTGGACGGAGATAATGTCAGGGGAGCTCAGTAGGTTTCCTCTCAGGCACTAATGAGAAACACAAAGGAGCAAATCATGGAGACTCTCTATAGAGCCCTTTGGCGAGTGCAGGAAGAGAGGGGAGGAGAAAAGAACCTCGCAGTAATAACAGCCTTTTTGAGAGGAGCTAGTGTTACTCATCTGCTCTCGAGGCCAGATCGAGCTCGGTGGGTGAGAGAACACCGTTCTCTCTTGGTGGATTTCTCCATGTGAGCTTTGGGAAAGCATTTCAAGCCGAAGAGAATTAGATCAGCCAAAGACGGTGTGCACCTATACCCCTGGCACAGGAGCCCATGAGTAAATTCTGTTCCTTTGTTTTGGCTCTCAGCTAGAATACCATGTTTAAATTAATGCTTTTAACAGCATTATTTAAGCTCTGCCAACATTTTACAAGCTGGTCTTGAGGTCGGAACTTTGCTTTAATTGTTCGTTTCCACAGAACCGCTTTGAGGTGCAGTTGTATATAGGGGAAACTGAGTCCTGCAGATACAATGTGTAAGCTGATTTAAAAAACTGTGTATTTTTACATTATTGTGGCATAAAATACTTGAGAAGCCAAGGGTCCTTGATAAAGTGTTTTTTTCTTTTCTCATAAACCTTGTAGCACTGAGCATTATGCCTTATACATACATAGTAGGCGCTCGGTGGATGTAAGTAGAATTGAGTTTATCAAATATTTATTATGTCTTCTACATTTAATTATACAGTTTTGCTAGAGTAGGAATCCTACTCTAATAGCTTCATTCCAATTCAAGTTTTGCAGGGCAGACTTAATTTGCTTAATTTATCGCAAATAGCTTGAAAAATTATGAAATGTTTTGTCATTAGCATAAGTCACTGGGAACTAGACCTAGGCTGAACATTTTTCTTACACAATGCAGTTGGTACGTAGTTTAAAGTTAAGCCAGCAGAATCCTTAAACAGGTTTTTGTAAACAGCCTTCTCCTTGATTATTGAATAGCATTAGTCTGATCCTTTAGAGTCCCAGCCATCTTAGAGCTCAAAATAAGTGTGTGACCACTGCAAAGCAAAAGAAGAAAAAAAGAAAAAAGAAGCTCACCATCTCACCAGCCGCGTGAAGAGGAGCTCCATTCCCACTTGTCGGCGTCCAGTTGCACCTTTATGAACTGCCAATGCCACATACCCAGGGGGAACTGGATGAAAGACCGGCAGGAGAGGCCTTACGGATCTCCTTAGACAGGCGCTCTTCACACCTCTGCAGCTTATCTGAGGCTCACTCCACAGAGTCGTGGAAGGAGCTCTGCCCTTCCTGAAGCACACGACGTCAAATAAACCCGGAGCTGAAAAAATGAGATGTGCAGATTCAAACCCCACATTGTGGGAATGACAGACAGAAGGTGGACAGTAAGTCTTTTTTTTTGTTATTATTAAAAGCCTGTGTATTGGGGGGATTTCCCTGGTGGTGCAATGGATAAAGTTCCACCTGCCGGTGCAGGAGACCACAGGTTCAATCCCTGGTCTGGGAAGATTCCACATGCCGCAGAGCAACTAAGCCTGTGGGCCACAACTATCAAGCCTGTGGTCTAGAGCCCAGAAACTGCAACTATTGAGCCCAGATGCCCTACAGCCCATGCTCTGCAACAAGAGAAGTCACTGCAAAGCCTGCTTACTGCAACTTGAGAAAGGAACGAAGACCCAGTTGCAGCCATAAATAAATAAATGTGAATAAAATTTTTAAAAATCCTTTGTATTTGGCATTCACTGTTTTCAGCAGAAGCCATCATCATTCACTCACTCATGTGTTCATTCACTCATTTATTCATCCCATTTAGGTGGTGCACCTACTTTGGGCATGCCAGGAGTGTAAGTGGTCTCTGACAGGGCTGTTGGAATGACTCCCTAGCCTGCAAGTCTATGAGGGACCCTGGAGGTATGAATAGTGTGTGGACCCACCTCACTGATTCACACCTTGTATATTTGGAAATATAAAGTCTTTAATTCAGTTTGCCTAATCGTCCCAGAGACTTTAGGTGAGGGTGTATGTGTTAACCAAAGGAAAGTCTCACTTGGACTAACATTATTTGTGATTCAAATTCTTTTTAAAAATAAATCTTAAAATTTCAGAAGGAGACTGTTATGGTCTGAATTGTGTCCTCCAAAATTTGTATGTTGAAGCCCTAATTCCCAATGTGACTGTATTTGGAGATAGGGCCTTTACAGAGGTAATAAGGTTAGGAGCAATCATAAGGGTAGGACCCTAATCTGATGGGACCTATGTCCTTATAAGAAGAGGGAAAGACACCAGGGAGCTCTGTGAGGGCGAAGGGAAGGTAGCCTTCTCCAAGCCAGCATGGGAGCTTTACCAGAAACCAATCTGCTGGCACCTTGATCTTGGAATTCTAGCCCCTACAACCATGAGAAAACAAATATCTGTTGTTTAAGCTCCCCACTCTGTGATACTTTATGGCAGCCCTAGCAGACTAATGTAGAAACCTTGCAAAAATCCACTAAGCTCTTTTCACAGGATTGTGACACTTAGTGCAATGCTGAGCACACAGGGTGGACAATAAGCACTCGCCCAGTAAGGGGTGAAAATAGAAGCAGTGACCGATTTCTATTTTCTTGGGCTCCAAAATCACTGTGGATGGTTTCTAGAGCCACAAAATTAAAAGACACTTGCTCCTTGGAAGGAAAGCTATGACAAACCTAGACAGCGTATTAAAAAGCAGAGATATCACTTTGCCAACAAAGGTCCATTATAGTCAAAGCTATGGTTTTTCCAGTAGGCAGGTACAGATGTGAGAGTTGGACCATAAAGAAAGCTGAGTGTCGAAGAATTGATGGTTTTGAACTGTGGTGTTGGAGAAGACTCTTGAGAGTCCCTTGGACTGCAAGGAGATCAAATCAGTCAATCCTAAAGGACATCAATCCTGAATATTCATTGGAAGGGCTGATGCTGAAGCTGAAGCTCCAATACTTTGACCACCTGATGGGAAGAGCCAACTCATTGAAAAAGGCCCTGATGCTGGGAAAGATTGAAGGTAAAAGGAGAAGAGGGTGACAGAGAATGAGATGGTTAGGTAGCATCACCAACTCAATGGACATGAATTTGAGCAAACTCTGAGAGAGTGGAGGACAAAGGAGCCTAGCGTTCTGCAGTCCACGGGGTCACAAAGAGTTGGACACAACATGGTGACTGAACAAAGCGAGCACGAAGGGAGAACTCAGGGCACAGCTCTCCGACAGAACTCAGAGAACCTGGTCCACGAGGCCCTTCTGTGGGTGGGGAGACAGGAACAGTGACCCAGTGATGGAGCTTCATGCTTCGTCTCCCCTTGCTGGAAACCAGTTGCTCATCCATCTCTACTTTATGGGAAGACTCCAAAAAAGGCTGGATGATGACCCTAAAATAGCTTAAATTTGAAAACAAAAAGAAATTAAACAATTGATCTCTAGCTCCATGCACTCTCCCCTGCCTGCTTCCTCCTTTTGCTGAAGAGTAAAGAGCAGAATGACAAGTCTGGGTCACGCGCATTTCTTCACCCGTGTGTTCTTGGCCGCCCCCTCTTACAGGAAGATGCTCTGTCAGTCCTTTGGTGCTGCATGAGTTATACATAGTGATCTCTTTGGATATCAAAAAGATAAAGGCAAGACTATAAAGATGGCTTTGCTGGTCTTCTCCGTCCTACCCCTCAAACTGTGCCAACTGCTCCCAGGTTACCTGATGTCCCTCAGCACATTGATCTGACAAAAGAATCCTCATAAGGTCTTAGAGATTAAGATTAGCTAACACTTGCCACGCTATAGGTTGGGTTTGACAAAGTTTACACACAGAAGCTATTTCTTTCTTTCTACGTTTCATACCTGAAATTTGGAACACTTCCAGCAGATAAAAAATAAATAAATAATGATGCTTAATCTAGAGACATGGTCCAACTGGCCAGAATTTCTGAATAAAAAGTCCACACACAAGAAAACCCCAAATTAGCATGTTTTTCCACCCAGTTGAATGATTTCTATTAAAATAGGATTCATTAAAGTGATCAGTCTATTCATTAATTGTCATATTACTAATATTACCATGATTACACCCCACCCTCCAACTCCCCTCACTAGAACCTTGCCTCTGGAAACAATGAGATTTTATAGCGTATCATCTCTCTGAGCTGAGAGCCACTACCATAACCAGGCGTGACTCTTTCATCTTGGTGATGCTATCTGGTGTTACAGTGATTTGTGAACTTGGCTTTGAGGAGTGTCTTCTGGCTGAGCCGTGTGGCTTAAGGCAGGCTGGCTGGCCATCAAACCACAAAGAGGCTGCTTGGACATAGCCTCAGAGCTTTCACTGGGGTGCACTGCTCAGCCGCACACTGTGGCCCTCCCGAGGAACTTTTCTGGGGTCTCAGAGGGGATCAGGCTCAGGCCTCTCTCTCTTAACCATTCACAAGACTGATGTGGAAAGCCAGCATGATCATTTATGAGGAGAAATCAAACTAATAATATTAACACAGGCCCAACCAGCTCCTTCTCTCTGATCAGCACACTATATAGGGAGCTAAACTATAAGGGCAAGGTGGCTTAGAGAGCCAGGAGCCAGAGCAGAAGGGAGCAGTTAAACCTGTTCTGCAATTAGAGCCTTCACCCACATCAGGTTCTGTGTATGAGTCAGGTTTCCAGACCGTGATGCTGTGTAACACAGCTCCGTGACCTAAAAACAACAGCGTTCATCTTCCATTCACATGTTTTCACGTAGACTCCAGAGCTTTTATTTCTTCAGGCTGCAGGCAATGTTCAGGTCATCTCCATGTGTATCTTACTCTGGAACCAGACTAAAAGGGTTACAGGGGGGAACTCTTCTGGCAAATAACAGGAGCATAAGAGGCAGGCAAGTCGCATGAGGCTGTTGAAGGCCCTGCTCACATCACGCCCTAGCATTCCATTGGTTGGTCAGGGTCAAAGGTCTAAGACAACCAGTGGGGAGTAGATGCCCTCTCAGGGAAGCCACAGTTAAGGGCAGAAAAGGAAGGATGAGCTGTGCACATATAATGCCACCTGCCCCCCGAGGTAGCCCAGGAAGTGCCTCTGAGCCACAAGAAGTCCCTGCACTGGGGACTAAGCCAGGGTGTCACTGAATCGCCAGGCAGTGCCGGGGCGGGTGGGGGAGGGGGTCCTCTCGGGTGACTTTCTTTCTGCTCAACACAGTCCTTCCTTATAGACGTTATGCATTAAATTCAATTACAGTCCTGCTGACTGACGACCGTCTCTTAAGGTGACTTTGCCTCCTCAGCTCTGACGCAGGAGGTCTCGAGTCCATAATTCAGCTCCAAGGTGAACCTTCTTTCCCTCCCTGTCCAGCTGCTTTGGGGTGCTTCACTACTGCCCCGCTGGCTCCTCCATGAGACAGCTGGACCTCGAGGGCAGGGACCATGGATTATTCATCTTAGAATTTGCTGTGGAGACCCGGATTCGATCCCTGGGTCATGAAGATTCCCCTGGAGAAGGGAATGGCTACCCACCCCAGTATTCTTGACTGGAGAATTCCATATACAGAGGAGCCTGGTGGGCTACAGTCCATAGGGTTGCTAAGAGTCAGACACGACTGAGCTACTAAGACACACATGGTTTGGTTGGTTATGTCCACCCCAAATTCATATGTTGAGACCTTTCAACCAGAGGCAGTGTCATTAGAAGATGTCATTAGGAGCCTTTGGGAGGTGATTAGGTCATGAGGACGGAGCCTGGATACATGAGACTTTTGCCCTAATAAAAGAGACCCCACAGAGCACCCAGCCCCTTCCACCAAGCGAAGAGCCGGGGAGAAGGTGCCGTCTGGGAACCAGGAAGCTCTCACTAAACACCAGATCTGTTGGCACCATGATCCCAGAGTTCTCAGCTTCCAGAACTATAAGAAAGATACGTTTGTTGTTCATAAGGCTCCCAATCTACAGTATCTTATCATAACAGCCCAAATGGACTAAGACAGGATTTTTCCAATGATCTCACCACATCCATGTGGAACTGAGTACTGGCTTCCAGGAGCTTCAGGAAAAGTAATGTGACAGCACCCGTCTTCACTGTCTGTGTCCCCACGAAGCGCCGGGAGAAGGACGATGTCTCGACTGCCAGGGCGTCTGCAGTGCCTAGAACTGTGCTTGTCACAGAGAAAAGTTTACTCATGACTGCGAACCAGTGGATTGTTCCTCTGCTCCTCCCATTGTGAGCTGACAGCGACTCCCTCCCTTCTCTCAGCCTGACAGTCTGAGAATTCTCAAGGGCATCTCCTGTATCACTATCCCCGCCAGGACTGGAAACAGGCCCTTCTCACCGAGTGCAGAACAGGACGTTCTCTCCCCGACACCTTCTTCCATTGATTTCCCCACTTGCCTCCCTCAGACTCAACAATGGCTGATTCAAGGCCGTGAGTCATGCCAGCCCCGAGCGTGAATTCACGGGGGCCGGTGTGCGGACGTCACAGGACTCGCACCCGGCAACGAGGTGGGTGCTCTCTCTATCTGCCTGGAGACCACCAAAGAAAAGCTCTTCTGGCTGTCTGGGCGGCCAGAACTCCAGCTCCAGCGCCCTCCCCCGTCCCCGGCCGATCGCCCACCCAGCACCCCGCCTTCCTCCCCCGGCACATCTGCAAAGGCTGCTCCCCACCTCCCGAGGAGGCCGCGGTGTCCCACTCATCTCTGAAGACAGTGCTGTGTCCGTGAGCAGACGTTGTGCCCGCTGCCTGAGCACCATTCAGAAGCGAACACTTGAGCCTCCACTGACTGTTCTGTTCGGCTATTACTCATTTTTTTTCTGTTTTTTTTCTTTTTTTGCTATGCATTCAATAATCGAGCAGAATGTGCCCTCTTCATCTCCAAGTCCCTGGTGGGGAGGGGACAGGGGGGAATCCATCTTCGCTGTGGTGCATTCCCCTTCCCGCTCCCATTTCTGAGGTTAATTGGTATCCACCCGGGTCTGCTGGAGCATTTTCAACAGCATTTTACTGGTCAGAGGGCATCTTTTGATCACAGGAAATCAGATAGAAATGAGAAACAACTTTCACCTCCTGGGCGGCCCTTGGGGTCTCAGCTGCTCCTCCAGCAAAGCGGTCAAGGGGACCACAATGGACCACACATGGGCTGAGTGGCCTGGCTCCTGCCATCAAGCTGTTCACTGTCTTTGGCTACGAGAGAGACAGGGACCCAGTGAACTGCCCCCAGGTGGGAGCCCTTAATGCAGTTCTGGAGGAAGCAGGAGATTCCTTGGCCTTTCAGTTTCACTTTTTAAAATAATTTTATGAATTTATTTATTTCGTTTGTGATTGCTGGGTCTCCGTTGTCGCGAGGGCTTTTTCTCTAGTTTCAGCGAGCAGGGCTACTCTCTAGCGGTGGTGTGCAGGCTTGTCATTGCAGTGGCTTCTCTTCTTGCAGAGCACGGGTTCTAGGCCAGGCAGGTTTCGGTAGTCATGGCACGTGGGCTCAGTAGCTGCAGCTCCCAGGCTCTAGAGCACAGGCTCAGTACTTGGGGCGCATGGGCTCAGTTGCTCCGCGACATGTGGGAATCTTCCCAGATCAGAGATCAAACCCGTGTCTCCTGCATTGGCAGGCGGATTCTTTACCGCTGAGCCACCAGGGAAGCCCTCAGTCTCGCCTTTTCAGGAAGGTGGAAGAATTCTGATTCAGGCCGAGAAAGGCTGTCAGAACACCCTCGGGACTCTGGTGACTGGGCCAGGAGGAGAAGACACTGCTGGGAATCAGAAGAACTCTCGGCTCCCTTGGACTCTCCCCACTCCTTTCTTCTTCCCAAAGGTGCCCTGGACACCGCACAGCAGATAGCAGCCAAGAACAGCGGTACAGCAGACGCCAGAGCACTGTACAGCTTCTAACCTCACATGTTACCTTGTTTAATCCTCACTACCGATTAACACAGGGCGTGATGTAAATGCGTTGTTACTGTGCCCATTCTATAGATGAGAAAACTGAGGCTCACTGAGGGTAACAGATCTGTCCAAAGCTAAGGAGCAGGGAAGTCAAGACCCAGCTTGGTCTTGGGTCAGCCTGTCATGTGCAGATCATTTGCATCGTCCCCGATGCAGGAGGAAGGGTGATGCTGGGATCATGAAGCCAAGCTCATCCATAGCCCTGTGGGGGAGGTTCCTCCCAGCTGTGAACTGAGGGGCACGCACCACCGATGGGAGGAGCAAGCCATACAATGGGCGCTTGGGAACCAAGACCTCAGCTTCTCAGGGCAGGGAGGCACCCCTGGGCCTTCCACGAAGCCGTGCTCAGGCTGGTTGACAAGGGCACAGCTGATTATTCTGCTCCAGCAGCTCAATAATCCCCATTAACTTGGCTACCTGGCAAGTGTGCCCCCAGCCTCCCACCAGAGAGGTCCCCTCCACCTCCCCCAAAGTTTTTCCTTATTTCCGAATTAATCCATATCCTGTAACTGCTGCAGTAATTGGGGGGCAAACACTTCAAAACCTTACACTGTGTGAAGATGGCACATTTTTTAAAAAATTGCTTCTCCAACCAATGGTGCCCATAATGGAGTTAGAAAAATGAGCTCCTCTCACTAGCCTCTCAGATCCGTCTCCCAGCGCTCGGCTTCTTTGTCAGAGTCGTCTTGTTGCTGTTGAGTGTGTCTTGTCAAACACCCAGCCAGGGCTTGGGGGCAGGGAAGGAGTCGGGCAGAAATAAAGAGATCTGGGCTCCTTTGTGCTAAGCAGACGGATGCCTGAGAACTTCCCAGTGCCGATGAAAGGAAAGTCTATCTGGTCACGAGGCTAGTCTATTAATTTCGTCAAGCCTACAAAGCAAGTTCCTCATCCGACTGTTTTCTTCTTTTCTGATAATTGCTGCAGCGCCTGGCTCTGACAGAAAGAAACTACCACTCCGCCTTAGAAATAGTTGTGGTGCCAGTGTCCTAATGACACAAGGGTGGCAGCCTTCGTGGAGAAGAGGAGACAAATGTCAATTAGCACAGACTCTTGAATGCGAGCCAGCAGTGTCTCAAAGCCAAGGCCAGCAGCCGTGGATCAAGGGATCCTCCAAAACACAGTTTTGTTTTGCCTTCTCTTAAATTAGCCGACCTAAATATATATATATACATATAAATTGGAGCCAGTACACCCCCACCCCTGCCATCAATTAGTGGTGCCTCTGGAACACAAGATCTAGGATATCTCAAAGCCAGTGTGACCTCCAAACCTCACCAAAGTAGTTAACGATTTTTAAAAACGATTGTCCCCGCTTCAGTTCCTCATCTCTGGCCTGAACTCTTTCCTCTCCCTCCCCTGAACAGAGCAGGCCTGCCCCAATGGATTCTACTGGGAATTTCCTGGTCTTTAGGATCACAACGGGAGGAATGCAGTTTGGACCCCACTCCCTTCAAGGACCTCGGAGGTCCTGGCTAACGCCACCAAAGTCACATCCTTATTTGCCTCCCCCTGCTCCAGTGCCCCATGTTTCTCTCCCCCCCACGCCTCTTGTAGGTACTTCCCTGCCTGGGTGAGTGGGGGGAGTAAGGAGGTGGGGTAGGGGCCCTCGCTCTGTTGATTGCCACAGAAACCAACATTAACTGAGTGCACTGGATTTCAATTCTGACATTGGCAGCGTGTCTCAGCAGTGGTCTTTGGCAATAGTTCGCGGGTGGCATGACTTTCTCAAATAAAGAATGCCCGTGGTCTGCCCTGCTCCATCCAGCGCTTCCTTCCCTGTGCATCGTCTCAAGATTTTCCCTAGTGTGTTACAAACCCTCCAGGAAGTGGTCCACTCTACCCTGGGCAGGATCTAATAAACCGCTCGAAAGGGAAGCGTCCGCTGTTGTCTGAGACACGAAGTCTACTTGGGTTTAAATTCTCCCCCAGGCACTGGGCTGTCTTTCCTGCCAGCAAAACTGAGCTAAAACACAAAGAAGCGAAGCCACTCATAGAGAACCAGGAAGTCCTTACGCCTCACCTGGTTTTGGTAAGATGTTCACACACTAACTGACTCTACCTAAGCATTTACAGTGTGGACCAGACAGGACGAGTAAGTGAAAATGCTGCCAGTTAGTTACGATGCAGTGAGGAAATGTGAGGAATCCTGTGATGACTTGAGGACAGGACACATGTCCTGCTCTTCACTCATTCATTCATTCACCCATCTACCCATCCAACCCTCTATCCAGGGTGCGTGATTAGCCCCTTCAGCAATTAGCATAAAGTCAAGTCCACAGTGGGGGTTAATTATGCTGGTAAATGAAGAACCTGCCAAACATACTGTGGACGGAGTACCTGCCAGAGCCTCAAGGACCCTCAGACGCGTGCCTCTCGTCTCGCTGGCATTATTAAAGGGGCAAGCCAAACCTCTACTTAGTATGCGTCTGATGAGGTGTCAGAGAAACTACACAGAGTGCAACTGACGCGGGCAAGCCAGATGTTACTGCATATTTTCACTGGAAGAATTCTTCTCACCGCTGATCCCCACCATCCCTTGAATTCCAGATTGTCTTTCGGGAACAGATTTTGAGGTCTGACTGAGGCTGGAGCTAAACAGATCCTGGTGCTCTGGACACGCGGAGGCCCTGGGGAAGGATCCCAGGCGGTCCCGCCCCTCAGTCCTGTCCGCCCCATGGTCAATGCAAGCCCTCTGCCACTGCCTCTGCTTTATTTCCACTGAGCTCACCAGTCACCAAAGCGGAAGACTTGGATCAGCCGCCCCACCGGGCCGGGTGCATGCTTCTTGCTGTCTAACGCACACTGTCTGAACACCCAAGCCGTGCCTGTCACTCCCGAGGGCCAGCACCAGCTCCCTTCGACCGAAGCACAGGTGCATCAGCGTGTTGGTGCTGGTGTCACGTTGGAGAACAGTCCTCCGCTGTGTGAGTTAACTACATTGTGTAAAACCCCCTGACCCTATTTTGTAATTAAGCTCACTTGTTTTTTTTTGTTGTTGTTGTTCTGCATATAAGTGATATCATATGATATTTGTCTTTCTTTGACTTAATTCACTCAGTACAGCATCTCTAGGTCCAGGTCCATCCATGTTGCTGCAAATGGCATTATTTCATTCTTTTTTATGGTTGAATAACATTCCATTGTGTATATGCATGCATGTTAAGTCTCTCCAGTCGTGTCCAACTCTGGGCGACCCCATGGACTGTCGCCTACAAGCCTCCTCTGTCCATGCGATTCTCC